TATAAATGTTTAAAAGACAACAAAATCACAAACAAAAATAGCTTAGAACTGGGAAAATAATAGGAAGTTTGCTTCTTCTGAATTTTAAAAACCTAATTTACAAAGTAATTTGTAGAAAATGAAGTTATCTAGTTAGTTAAAAATGAAAAGCCTTGTATTGAACTGAAATATAGTGCTCAAACTCATTTTTAGCAGCTATATCTACTTTAATTGAATTTTTAAAATCAGCTATGTAATCTCACCTTAGCATTGTAACATAGGTATTCAATTAGAGCTGTCATTTCTGGGCCAGTAGATGTAGCAGTGGCTGGAAGTCCTAGGGATCCCTTGGGTCCTGGAGCTCCCATAAGTCCTGTTCTATATGACCAATATACAATAGACTTACAGATCTACCTTCGTTGCATTGTTTTTTGCCATTGTGTATTGCTTGCAAAGTGAGATGTTAGCACTCCATGGAAGGCTAGGAACATCTTTTAAAGAGATATTTTTATGAATCTTAATACTTCATACCCCATTAGAAATGTTTCATGAGGACAGGGATTTTTGTCTGTTTTGTTCGCTGCTGTATCTCTAATGCCTAAAATAGTGCCTAGTAGATAGGAGGAGCTTAGTAAATATTTATTATTGAATCTATAAATGAATGAGTGAATGGAACAGTATTGATAGTTAAAAGATTTTTTTGTCGTTACATTGAGAATATGCTGTGGGTCTCTTGAAAGATCTTTTAGTATTAGGTAGCTTTGTTGTTATAAGTTTATTATTTTGTATTCTTTTCTCCCCTAGGAAGTAGCATTTAATGTATGTACACTTGAAGAGATTGTGAGGGCAGAGACAAATACAGTCATGCACCACATAATGACGTTTCAGTCAACAACGGATCGCATATATGATGGTGGTAGCATAAGATTATAATGGATCTGAAAAATTGGATGCCTAGTGACGTCATAGATATCATAATGCTGTAGCACATACATTACCCACGTGCTTTTGGTAATCCTGATATAAACAAACCTACTGCACTGCCAGTCATATAAAAGTATTGCCCATATAATTATGTACAGTACATACTACTTGATAATAAATGACTATGTTACTGGTCTATGTATTTACTATACTATACTTTTTATTGTTATTTTAGAGTTTCTCTTTCTACTTATAAAAAACAGTTTACTGTAAAACAGTATATTGTGTTACACTGGCAGCAGCCTCATACCTCTTGTGTTCACCACGTCTCTTGATTGCATCATTTTCTCTAGTGCTTGATTTAATCTCATGTTGTTTTGTTCATCATGGCCCCTAAGTGTACAAAATCCACTGCTAATGTTGCCAGTAAGAGGCCATGTTGACTGATTGACCTGAAAACAAAATTAAAAGTGATTAAGGACTACGAAGGTGGAAAGTGAGTGATGGTTATTGCTTGCCAGTCAGGCATGTCCCCTTCCACCATAGCTATGATCTTGAAGAACCATAACAAAGTGGCAGAAGCTGTTAAAGTATGTGCTTTATTGAAGGCAACAAGACTAACAAAAATTCAAGAAGGGCCTATGTCAGACATGGAGAAACTTCTAATGACTTGAATTGAAGACCAGACACAGAAGCTATCTTCCTCAGCACCAACAATCATGGCCAAAGCAGAAAGTTTACGATGTTCAAAGAAAAGGCTGGACCCAACTACAATGTTGAATTTATTGTTAGCTCTGGATGGTTGAAATGATTCAAGAATCGTTATTCATTACATAATATGGAAATATGCTGTGAGTCTGTGAGTACAGCTGAAGAATTTTTAGAAATTCTAGATAAGCTGATTGTGGAGGAGAATTACTTGTCAGAGCAAATATTCAATATGAACAAAACCTCCCCATTCTGGAAACGGATGCCTGAAAGGACTTTCATCCATAAGAAGATCAAGTCAATGCCAGGTTTCAAGGCTTTTAAGGACAGAATAACAGTCTTTCTTGGGAGCAATGCTGTGGGCTACAAATTGAAACCCTTTGTGATCTGGCACAGACCCCCACAGCCTTGAGCATATCAATAAGCACACACCGCCAGTGTACTACAGGAGCTGTAAGAAGTCATGGAAGACCCAGCTCCTCTTCCAAGATGCCCTCCTGAATTGCTATGACAGAGAAATGGAGTACTGTTTGGAGAATAACGTAACTTTCAAGATTTTGCTTATTGTTGATAATGCTCCTGGACATCTATCTTTTACTGGTGATCTTCATCCCAATATCAAAGCTATGTTTCTCCCTCCAGCACCACCTCTTTGATCCAACCAATGGGTCAAGGAATTATAGCAGCTTTTAAGGCCTATGACCTGAAGAGAACCTTTACTCAGGCTATTGCTGCAACTGAGGAAGACACTGAGAAGACATTGATGCAATTTTGGAGGATTGTAACATCTATGACTGCATCAAGAACCTTGCTTGGGCTTGAGGTGATGTCACTAAGGAGTATATGCATGGCATCTGGAAGAAGACACTCAAGAGGTTCATCCATGACTTCAAAGGATTTGTTAAGAATGAGGAGGTTGCAAAAATCAACAAGGCTGTGGTTGAGATGGCAAACAACTTTAACCCGGGTGTAGATGAGGATGACATTGAGGAGCTCCTAGAGGTGGTTCCTGAGGAACTGACTAATGAAGAGTTGTTGGAACTGGAACAGGAATGTATAGCTGAAAGAGAGGCAAGAGAAAAAGAAATGGCAGGAGAAGAAAAAGAACCTCCAAGAAAATTCACAGCAAAGGGTGTAGCAGAAGCTTTTGCAGACCTCAACAAGCTCCTTAAAGTTTGAAAACGTGGACCCAACACTGAAAGATTTTCATTAATGGAGGGGAATGTTCATGGTACGTTTATCTGCTTACAGGTAAATCTATGATGAAAAAAAGAAACAAACCAAACTAAACACCAGGAACATATTTCTGAAAAGAGTGACACTTCCTCAAGTAGGGCCTCAGGCAGGTCCTTCAAGCGGTATTCCAGAAGAAGGCATTGTTACTATAGGAGATGACAGCTCCATGTGTGTTATTGCCTCTGAAGACCTTCCAGTGGGACGAGATCTGAAGGTGGAAGACAATGATATTGGTGATCCTGACCCTGTGTAGGCCTAGGCTAATGTGTGTGTTTGTGTCTTCCTTTTTAACAAAAAAATTTAAAAAGTAAAAAAAAATTTTTTAAGTAGAAAAATTCTTATTGAATAAGGATATAAAGACAGGAAATGTCTTTGTACAGCTGTACTATATGTTTGTGTTTTAAGCTAAGTGTAATTACAAAAGAGTCAAAAAGTTAAAAAAATTTAAAAGTTTATAAAGTAAAAAAGTTACATATGCTAAGGTTAATTTATTATTAAAGAAAAAATTTTCAATAAATTTAATGTAGCCTAACTGTACAGTGTTTATAGAGTCTGTAGTAGTGTACAGTCCTAGGCCTTCACATTCGCTCACCACTCGCTCATCGACTCACCCAGAGCAACTTCTAGTCCTGCAAGCTCCATTCAATGGTATATATACAGGTGTAACATTTTTTTTTACCTTTTATACCATATTTTTTCTTTACCTTTTCTGTGTTTAGATACACAAATGCTTACCATTGTCTTCCAGTTGCCTACAGTATTCAGCACAGTAACATGCTGTACCAGTTTGTAGCCTAGGAGCAATAGGCTATACCATATGGTTTAGGTGTGTAGTAGGCTATGATGTTCGCACAACAACAAAATCACCTAATGACTAATTTCTCAGAATGTATCCCTGTTGTTAAGTGATGCATGACTGTACTGAGGAAATTGAATAAAGACTCAGTATACTTAAATGTTTATCAAACGTTTTATTTTCCGTTTTCCTCTGTACAAGTTAGTTGCAGGCCTCTCTGCAGCAAGTGAGTGTGAGCTGCATTATTCCAGTATAGCTACATAATTAGTGTGGCCCACTGTGAACCTATGGGATCTGAGGCATGTAATGAGTTAAGCTTTTTCTGCAGAAATGTCAAGAATGCATTTAAAGACTTGTGAATTCTTGCCAGACCCACATTACCAAGACTATTCTTTATTTTAGATTCAAGTATACAGTAGGTCTGATCTGCTCAGGCATGCATATCGAACTTCTTTCTGAATGTACTGTAATTCAAAGGGAAACTTTTTTGAAGCAAGACAGGTCTTTACACATTACTTATGAATAACTTGCCTCAGATCTTGGATTCTTAATGGAGGATCTACTTCTGTAGTCTTACTCAAGTAAGACTTATAAAGGACTCCTTTGTATGGGTATAATCAGATTCTGGATAGATGTTTTCTATAAATACTGAGGGGATATTTGGATAAAATATTAGAATTAAAAATTTTTCTCTTATGCCATTTTCCAGTATTTTGACAGATGAAAATTCTGTGAGATATGGCATTGATGCAGGGACTGAGGTGCTGATTAACCCATCAGAGTATTTTTCTGTGGCACCATTCACATCCTTGTTCCTACTTTTATCTCAATGGTAATTTATGTAAAGAAAATTTTTGTTGTTAAAGAGGGTCCATTAAACTATTTCTAAATAAGTCTTATGACTAGATAGTGCTTTGGAGACATTTCAGAACTTTATAATTTTTTTAAATTGTCTTAATTTTGAAAAAAAAATCCTTTATTTTTTCCCCCTCAATGGTGATTTTTTTTCTTTGAATGTTCTCTCTGATGTAATGCCTATTATACTGGATCTGGTAACCTACAGAGGCATTTTAGCTTATCCTTTTGCTGGGCAATGATTAGGTTTCCCATTTCCTATTACAAAGCACCTTTCAAGTTCTGTTAATAATGCATTGTATTACTTTTCCATTAGTAACTAATGCCCCAACCTGAATATTTTGTAGCTCCTCTTAATATAAATTGAGAAGTTTTGAGAAAAGTGGGTTATTTTGACGTACAGAACATTTCAAGTATGTCTTAAAGACTCTGAATTGCTATAGATTTTTTTAATGTTAAGGAAATCATGACTCTAACGTATCTTTTTCTTTAAATATTACAGACCAGATATCTTCATATTCTCTGTTACAACTTTGGAGTAGAAACCTACAAGCAGAATAAATATGAAGAAAGTTCTTTCTGGCTTAGGTAATATAAAGAAAATAATGAATGTAAATTCAGAAATATTGTCATAGAGTTCAGTTAATACTTAATATAGAGTGCTTTGACTGTTTAAACATTCTCTGACTTCAAAAGCCAACATGCTAAATTTATTTACTCCTTTAACATGTATTGTTTATTATTCTTACACATTGCCGGTTGATAGAAAAATGTATTCTATTCTTAACATAACATAAGAACATGTTCTCCCTCCATTTCTCCTTTGTATCTCCATCAAGAATATGGAATTTTTTTTTTTTGCTTTGGTACCTGTTCCTGTCTGTCAATCCCAGAGTATAAGAGTGGTAGAATGGGAGTAGGATCAGCTCAAATTGTTAGTCTTACATGAATTTTGGTATTTTAATAGCAGACAAATAAGCATATATTTAGCTCTTACTGTATGCTCAGTACTATAGTAAGATTTGTACTGTTGTATTGAATCTGGAGATATCAAGGGAATAGTGCAAAAATGTAGCAACTATATACAAGAATCCTGTCTTTCACTGAATACCTAGGCCCAGCACAGATTCTGACACATTGTAGGATACTCAGTAATTGCTAGTTAAATGAATTTATGTGAAAAATGTATTTTTCTGGAGATGTAACATAGGGTTCTTTGAATATCAGGGGATTATGGAGTAAAATATATCAAATCAATTCAGTAAGTGTTTCCCCTTTCTGAGTACAGGGTTAGTTCTGGTTATATGATTAGTTTAACTATTGTGAAAATTACATTCGCCCCTAATGAAGTAAATACAAATATGGTCATTCACAGGCATGTATATCTCTAACAAAATACCTATGCAAAAAACTTGTTTAGGTAAAAGATGTTTTAGATCCTAAAGACTTATCAAACTCTATAGAGAACTATGCCTGACAGAACAGGCTTATGCGGTTAAAAGAGATACACTTGTCTCAATTTAGAATGCTTCACACAAGTGGAATGTACCTGAAATTTTTATTAGAAATCATATTTTTATAAATTGAATTATTTAAAATATACCAAAGGAGCTGGCTAGTTTAGCATGGGTTTTACAACAGGTTTCCTTTTAAAAAGAAAGGCATGCTGATGCCATGGATGGCTTCTGGAAGCTTAAGCCTATGAGGTGAGCTTGTAGTTTATGCCAAGAATGAGGGTGAATGTTCTCTAGGAACTGGTCATAAGAGTAGGCTGAGGCTTGAAGTGACATGATGTACGTTATTTTCAAATATGCCACGGGTTGTTGACCCCCCGTATGTCATCATCATTTTTTAGAAAATCTTACAGAAGGAAAATACGATGGTGACATGACGTGACTGATCCATATTATAAGCTAACTATATCAGATTTTTACTATATATTTAGTGGCTATATTTTTAGGAATATAATTTGACCCATAGTCATATTTTTGTCAAAATCTACATAATAACAAATTTATAGAGCACCACTATATTTTGAGTCTAGATGAGATTGGGGAAAACAGGACGAACTAGAATTATAGCCCTGGTTATTATATATGGTTTTACTTTCTCTGCTTCTTGATTTTTTTTCCACATCTTTTGGGGATATAAAAATAACATGGTGAAGTATTCTCAAATGCCTTGAAAAAAATTGTATTTTAATGTGTTTAAAAAAAGGGAAAAATAATTATTATTAACGATAGGGATTTTAGCGCAATGGATAGCTTTCCTAGTATTACATCAACTCCTAATCAAGTTCGAGTCATCTTTGACATCATTGTGAATTGTTAATATTATGATAGCTATTGTTAGAATTATTGTAGAGCTTCAATACGATGATGCATGTATTGTAGAGTGTTCAATAACATGCTCAGGAAATAGAAACTGCTCAATAAATGGTAGCCGCTGCTACTATTTCTAGGTGATGTGTTTGCTATTTACTGCAAATGGACACTAATATGGCCAGTCCACTAGTTTATTCTAAAATTCATCCCAGTCAAATCAAACATGGATTAATTATTGACTTCCCAGGTAAAAATATCATAAAGACAAGCACCCATCTTCTTCTCTCATATACTGCTAATCTTCGGAATAATTTTTCTTCATGCTTTAATTATCCATGTGTTGAGAAAACTGCTGGGAGAAGTTGGTGATATAAGCAGGAGTGAATAGCTGCTAATTAAGCACTCTTCCCTGTAAATTTTATACAAGAAGGAGGCCATGGAAAGTGTGTGTACTTTCTACAGGCTTAACTATTAAGAAGAGAATCTTAAGCTAGAGGTTATATACAATTTGGAAGTATCCATTTAGTCTAAAAAAGAAAAAAACCATTTTTACACAAATGATAAGATATAAAAATTGCTATAGTATATTAGAATTTTGTTGAAATAGAAGCCTACAACATAAAGAGTGGTAGTGGGTATTGTTTATAAAGCTCTTCTTTCCCTCAGTTCTTGTTAACAGATCTTGGTTCAGGACCTTTCTTAGTTTTCACCTCGTCCCTGCCTTTTCTTTTGCGACGAAAAGTTCATGAACAGCTGCTGCTCTCCTTGCTTTCTGCCACACTCTTTTGATCATGCTCCCTTATTAGAGAAGCCACAGATTAAGAGAAGGCCTCTGTAATTATGAATGAAATTGAGAATCCTTCAGCTTACTTTACTGTGGGTGTCAAGGTACCTGCCTTGATGTATTCAATGACAAATTCAGTTAGGATTCTATAGAATTTAAAATTTCACATATTTGAAATCGAAATGCCAGCTTTGGAAATATATTTAATAGGTTGTTGTTTAATAAAATAGATTTTTCCCCCTACTCCTCCCTTTTTGTAATTCTTACTATATTGAGCTCCTCTGTCTGCTCGTGGCAGAAGGCAAGAATAAGTAGATGAGAAGAGACTGTTGATTTGGAATTTTCTTTCACAACCTGGGGATTTGTTAGTGGCCTCTCAGTTGCCCTGGTGGAATTTAAATTTAGTGTTTATCTTTTAAAGTCCTATCTAATAATTTGGATGTATGCTGATCTTGGCTTTTTAGAAAAGGAGTACAGAAATTGCCCTGTAGCTAATTAGTATTCTACAAAAAGCAGTGTAAACCAAACAAATACAAATAAACCCAACTCAAAAGACTTTGGGGTTACATTGATTTACCACAAAGATTTTGCAGATTTTCTCCTCCTGGGAGGAAAATGCCCTAATTCCAAAGCCTTAGTCATATTTTTAATCTTGGATAATTTTTCCTTTATTTCTAGTAGTTCTTTCTAATTCACACAACTGTGTTCCTTGGAGCTACTGGCTGGTAAACACTTGGGAGGCTCACTTTGTTTCCTTTTGCTGTAAGAAGACCTATTTTCTAATTATGACAAATTAAATTTAGAGAACAGTCAAAACGAATGGGTAATAGCCATGGATATAGTAAAAATAATGTTTGAAACTTTTTTGCTGATTAAAGAAGTGGTATGTACTAATTATAAAAACTTCAATATTAAAAAAAGTGTAAATGGAAAGTAAAAGTCCCCTATAATCCTACACTCATAAATCCTCAGTATTAACATTTTACTTTATGTTCTTTTTAGTTTTTTTCAAAAAAAGTTTTTAAAAACTCTTTTAATATATTAAATGACAAGGAAAACATGAGAATCATTGAAACACATTTGGAGGATTCAGGAGTTGAGGGGTTTTTTTTCAAAATGAGCTGTGAATAAAGAAGATAAATGGAATGAAACCAAGCCAAAGACTATACATAGGAAAATTCCTAATTGGTGATCTCTTATTATATTAGAGACAGTGACATAAATTGGGAAAATTACAGAAGACATTTGAATTGGACAAAATCCTGGAGAATTGGATAAAACCCTGAAGGTGTTCTGTAAAAAATAACCTAACATCCATCATAATAAATGAAATTTAAATGACCCCACTTCTTTGACTTAGAGATCAGAGACAGAGTACTTATAGATTCCTGAAGAGGAGAGTCCTTTATAAGTTAACAAAAATGAGAATATTTCTCAACCTCGTGTGTGAGAGCTCTGTGCTGCCTTTCTCGAAACCGTCAGGATCCAAAGAAAGCATGATTTCTTCAGCATACTTCTGAGACCATGGTTACAGTTTATATTTTCTTTTAAAAAGAACACAACCAAAACTTAGTGTTGCTAGAATTTTTTGGATGTAAATAAATAATTGGGTAGGCAGTATGTTAGAGAAGGAGTAATTTTTTCTATTCAGGTTATGATCGTTTGCAACATTGTGAAATTTCGGTTGTACATTATTATTTGTCAGTCACCATATAGATGCACCCCTTCACCCTTCATGCCCATCCCCAACCCCCCTTCTGCCTGGCAACCACTAATCTGTTCTCTTTGTCCATGTGTTTGTTTACCTTCCACATATGAGTGAAATCATACAGTGTTTGTCTTTCTTGGTCTGGCTTATTTTGCTTAACATAATACTGTCAAGGTTCATCCATGTTGTTGCGAATGGGATGATTTTGTCATTTTTTATGGCTGAGTAGTATTCCATTGTATATATATACCATATCTTCTTTATCCAATCATCAATCATGGGCACTTGGGTCACTTTCATGGCTTGGCTATTGTGAATAATGCTGCAGTTTACATAGGGGTGCATAAGTCTCTTTGAAGTGTTGATTTCAAGTTCTTTGAATAGATACCCAGTAGTGGGGTAGCTGGGTCATATCGTGTTTCTACTTTTAGTTTTTTGAGAAATCTCCATACTGTTTTCCCTAGTAGCTGCACGAGTTTGCATTCCCACTAGCAGTGTGTAAGGGTTGCCTTTTCTCTACAACCTCTCCAACATTTCTTATTTTTTGTCTTGGTTATTATAGCCATTCTAACAGTGTAAAGTTATATCTTAGTGTAGTTTTGATTTGCATTTCCCTGATGATCAGTGATGTTGAGCGTCTTTTCATGTTCCTATTGGCCATCTGTATATCTTCTCTGGAGAAATGTCTGCTCATATCCTTTGCCCATGTTTTGATCGGGTTGTTTGCTTTTTTGTTGTTCAGTTTTATGAGTTCTTTATATATTATGGAGAT